TTCGTATGAAAAACTAGTAATAATTAGAAGAAATTTTTATCAGTTGCTCAAAAATTTTATGACTGTTGATGATAAATAGTACGTTTTATAAGCTACAATTTTTTATTATTTGGAACAGCATTAAATGCCAGTTTTTATATTCTTCTATAATTTCCAAGATATTTTTTGAGAAAAAAAAACCTACCTCATAAATAATTATAACAGGTATTCAATTTTATTCCCAGCCACAAGTCTAAACTTTGTTTTTTCTTATTATCAGTTTTTATTACTGATCATAAGTTATTCACTAAGATAATTTTCACTTGGGTTGGAAATCGTTGTGTTTGATCTCTAAATGTAAAGAGACAAGATATTATTTTCTGAAAATGTTGTAGATTTAGTAGTTTCTACACAAACTTAATCATTTAATTTATGAATAGATGTTAAACTTGCCACACCCAATTGGAGAGTAACATCACGGTAATAATGAGTAAAAAGGTGCAAAGGTGAACTAGATTTTTAAAAAATACCTCAGAAATTTATGCTGAAACGCAGTTTCTTTACGTTTATCAATTTATTTAGTATCTCAAAGGCATCCTCGCGATCTTTTATAAAATTGAATAAGATTATTAGATTTTTTTGTAATACCAAAATAAAATATCGACTAAAGTTTAACACTATTTTTTGGAAATTTGTAATTAAAGCGCAAAATAGACGTTTCTCTATAAGCATCTATACAGTTAAAAGGTATTAAAAAATGAGAAAAATTTAATATTATTTTGGTTCCTGAGATCCTATCCTCTCAAAAACTGGACTAGAACACTAAACTTATTAAACATTAACTTAGCTGTATGCCAAGTTTCGTCTCGTTATTATTTGAATTTATGCTACAACTATCTTAAATAGGACTCTAGACAAGAAAGAAAAGCACTTTTAATTCCAATATTGTAAAGTCTAGAGTACTGAATCGAACGCCTTCGCAAAATCTAAATAAACAGCGTGAGCTTATCCGTTTTTGTCAAAATCGAGGATCGTAAAATCTGTAAGCAATAATAAATTAGTGAAGATACATCCGTAGGGAAGAAACCATACTATTCCTGGACCACTTTGACTTTGGATTCAAAGTTAGAGAATTTGCTGATAGCGTCGAATAATTTAGCAACTGAAGATAGAATGGTTATGGGTCTATAGTTAGAGAGAGATTTTTTCACTTCTAGATTTACAGATTTATATATAGAGTGAAGAGTGTGTGTAGAGTATGTATTTATTTAAGCTAAGGACCTGCGGTTCTTATTAGCCTAGGCTCAAGTTTTTACAAGACTGCTAAAAGCAGTTTATACAAGGTTAGTGATACGCAGATCACAATAATACAAAATGTATCATAGATACATTAATTACAATAAAGTTAATTGAAGTAAAGTGTAAAATAATAGTTAAAATAATTTAAAATCAATGAAATAGTAAAAATAAAATAAAATATAGGTGTAGTAGAAAGGCACAGAATATCGTTTCGTAATGGATTTCTTCATTGAAAGTGAAATAATATAGCTAGAATTAAATACTTGCCTAATTAAAAAGTCCAAGTTAAATTTATCATGAATTTTTCAAGAAAAAAAAAACTTTTTATACATAATAACATTATCTATAAATATTCTCTTGCTAGATCACGGATGTTTCCCATGAATCCTATCAGAACAATCCACATACTGATAAAATTCTCTTGAATGTCATACATAGAATATCCATACCAAATTCTACTTGAATTTTTTTCATAAGACATGAAATAATAAATCAGGAAATATCATTAAAGGCTTTACAAACAGTATAACCATATACTAATGAATGTTCTTGGACTAACGGAAAATTAAGAGGGTTGAGCTAATAAAACTTTTTTAAGAAATAACAAATTATGATATTAAGTTAGACGTAACAATTCTTGGATAATAGCATCTCATTTAATAAGAAAATGTTAATGGATTATAATGTCTCAGGACAAAATTTTCTTTGCAATTTTTTAAACAATTTTCACCGCTTAAAATCAGTACCCAATATAACTATGATTGAATTAGTTTTTCGACACGAAAAATTTTGACTAGCTCGAAACAGAATAGGCTAGTAGTTTTAATGTATGATCACAAATTGACACAGAATTTAACAAGTGGAAATATTAGCTAAAGCCCAAAAAAAAAGGCAAAAATGGCCAAAACATGGTTTTTGCGTCTAGAAAAAAACAGAAGAATCGCACATAAAAATGTGTTGAATAAAAAAAACGCAATTTTAATAAGAAAAAAATGAGCCACGTTAAGTTCAAATCGGTCCCACCGTTTTTTCGCAAATAGCAAAAAACTGCCATTTTCATAGATTTTCTCGAAACTCAATTACTCACGTTCTATACAATGTAATAGAAGTAAATGTTTTCGATCGATAACAACTCATGGAGTAGATTAGACAAATTTTGGCAATGAAGAATTGATTTCGTGGATTCACATGAGTCAAAAAATATGTATTATAAATTTACATGGCAACTGATGACTCGGCCGCAGTATAACTACGTGCTTATGCAAATGAGTTCTTTAGACGTAGATAGTTTAATCAAGAATATAGTCGCAGTTTTAAAAAAACGATTAAACTTTAAGTAAGCTCATGAATATTTTGTTAAAAGATTAGGTTGTAATTATTCTTTATTTTGATATCTTTTAATTTGCGTAGTCTTTGAGAACCTTTAAAAAATCCATCAACAAAAATATGTGAAAACCCTATGTTGTTTAATTCTTATCAGAATTTTTATTTTTTTTTTATTGAATGTTAATAACTGAAACTGACAAAATGTCATTTTTGAGAATTTCTTACACACACTTGTTTTAATTCAAGTTGTGTAGTGTATCCTTTTGTTAATAGAGAGTATAGTGTACAACCGAAAAATACAGATTAACATATTTATGAAAATCTAATGATAAGGTTTAGAAATTTGTTTGCTCAGTGATGAAAATGAGAATTATTAAGAATTTATGTTTGAATCATATCAAGGAATATTTTCCTCCGAAATAAGTTATCCGAAAGAAAGTATATAAAGCGTATTTCTAGTAAAAAAAAAAAAAAGAGTCAGATTTCAGATAGCTGATTTCGTTTAGTAGATAATTGGCGCAGAGAAATGTAGTTCAAATTTCAACGTTAAACCTCATTCATTAATTAACTTTGATCTATATTTTTCATTTGGACTCGATCTCAAGTTGATCACAAAAATATTGTTGTGCGTACTGTTGAGTTGTTTTTTATTCCTTAAATCGGACAAAAATGAAATTACTCATTTACAACGTTAAATTGATCATGATACCACTGTTTTTTGTCATTGGTAAGTGTAAATTGAAATAAATTTATGAACTTCTGAAGTACTGGTCAAATTGAAATTAAAATTTTTTTAATATATTACAAATGATTCTCTAATGTTACGTACAATTATGTACTCATGTGATGTGTTACGTTAATGTTGAGCTTCGGGTCTTACACATTTTTTTGGTAACTGATGGGTGGGTAAGGGTTAACAATTCTCTCAAATCAAAATATTTTACAAATGTATAATATATACCTCATGATTTCTTACATGGATACATAATCTTAAACAGTGGTACAAAAGTAACATCAAACTTTTTTTTTATTTTGCAAATTCATAAAATAATGCGTTCTCCGGAAAATTTGTGTGCAAAAATATTATTAAGTACAATAGCATATAGCTATGCATGCGTGCGCCCCCATTGGCCTGGGCCCAAAAGGTAGGGGAATAGAGAAGAGGAGCGACAGGAATATAGGAAAGGGACAGCAAAGCAAGAGAGTAAAGGGGAGATTAGCTAGAGACGCGAGAGCGAAAGGACGAGGCCCGGGAGACTGGAGGACACGCGAAGCTTCCCTCGAATACAAGTAGCGCTAATAAAGTATAAGTTAACTACAAGTCACGCTCTTATTTATTTTCGCACTGAGAAACCCATGTAATAGCTGGGTTGTTGGATATTACTGTGTTGATGAATGAACCAATGAAAAAACTTCAGTTTTATTGAAGGTCTGAGTATTTTTTTCTGAAAATTCACTTTAATTAAAAATTATAATCGGCGGTTGATAGTTTCTTTAAAATATGTTTGAGTAAACTATTATTTCTCATGAGTATTTCGAAACTCGCATCTTTTTTTAGAAACAGAAAAAACAAAATTGAGAAGGTGCTAAAAAAACTTAACACTTGGTAAAAAGATATGACTAATTGCCCTTACAGACATTCAGGATGAAACGCTTATATCAAAATGTTACATTTAATTAGATCTCATAATGTAAAAAATTGTTTAAATCTAGGTTTTTTTTCATAAGATAGTTTGCTCTTTGACTGGCAAAATCGATGTAACATCACATACAAAGCATAGAGATTCTTGAGCTTGACCAATAAGGTTTGTATGGTAAAAGCTAAATCCTGAGGGCGCCAGGACCACTCGGTACTGATTTATAGATGAATTAAGGTATCCGTGCGAGTGCTTGGATAGTACACATAGTATGAGACACTCACAAGGAAGCACTCATAGATCCATAAATCAGGACCGAGTGGCCCTGGCACCCTCTGGATTTAGCTTTTACCATGCACTCCTCATTAGACTTTACTCTAAAAAAAAAAAAGTACGGTCGTTTGAAAATAAATTACCTTTGTAAAATAATGTTTTTCTAATAAACTACACACCTCATAGTTTAATTTTAACTTTTGCATTAACCAACATTATTCAAGTCTAATAATATATTTAGTTCAGGGATTGGATTACGAACAAATTATTGGCAGCCAAAATAACACAGTGCAAATAGAAGACTACGGTTACTATGTAATGATATTAGGTATTAAAATAAGGAATTCAAAAAGGGTGTCTTCAGTTTGCGGAGCATCAATTGTCCACTCGCATTACGCAATTACATCGGCTCACTGTTTAATGTATACGCAATGGAGATCCAAGTTATATGCGGTACCGTCATATCTTCCTTTTAACAGAGAAATCATGAAAAACCCTCCAATTAAATCGTATCATAAAGTCGTTGAAGCTTACGTATCTCCAGATTGGTTTCATCATGAGAACAAGATTAGCGATATTGGTGTTGTAAAGGTATGTAGTATGTTGGTTTCAAATTTAAAATGATTGGCGGTATATAGATTAATTTAGATTTGTACGATAACCAGCATTTTTTTGTACGAAAAAAATTTGAATACAATCAAACATAGTGACTTATTAACTTTATTAAAAGCTCGTTTTGAAAGACTTTTCTTGACAGTTCAAATACGCTAATAATAACTATACAATAAGAACGCACAACCTCAAAATTACGCTGGTATTGATATACTCCTGATTCTTACCTTTTAATTATTAAATTATTCAGTCTTATGTTGTAAGCATACAATGAGCATAGAACATAATAATTAAATCATGAATAATCACACAGATTCAAGGTGAGTTCATGTCCAATAACCATCCATGGATAAAACCACTACGTTTGCCTGACTTAAATTCAAATTACGCTGGCGAAACAGCTGCAGTAACAGGTAGAGGTCAAAACACGTTGGGAGTCGATGCTAATGGGACCCTAACAAAAAAGACAGGTGCGTGGGACTTTAAGCTGCGCGCTACTGTATACAAAATTTTAAGCGATACGACAGCCAGTAGGGTACCAGTATGTTTTTTTTCGGAATGTATATGCGCGATTCCATACCGGAACAAATCTAGCACGCAATACGAAGCCACTGGTATCGTATCTTATGTGAGTATCATCGAAAAAATGTTAGAATAAGAATTTAAACATATTTCTTTGGATTCGCGAGTACATTTGTAATTATGCCTATGCACACTCAGGGTGACAGTGGAGGACCACTCGTTGTCGATGACAACATTTTAGTTGGAGTATTATCAGGAGGTTTCAACTATCAACCAGGTGTTCCGAACATTGCTTATTTCGTTAAAGTCTCACATTACGTCGAATTTCTACAAAAAATTATAGATGGTACTTATGATCGTAACTCTGTTGTAACAAAACTCTACCTCTGATAATGACAACAAATTTGCACAAGTGATTTTATCTTTATAGTAATGAGTTTAATATATGTGTAAGTGTTGGTTAATGGTAAACATTTTAATCATCACAGTGGAATATGACTTTAATCCAAGGATTACCATGTGTAGCTGAAAACATCTGTTACGAATAAAAATATAACTTTAGTCAGTGAATACGTTGTTTTTAATCAAAAAAGTTTTTTTCAATACCTTGATTGAAACTACTACTACTACTTTTTTTCTGATTTCAGGGGCGAAAAAATGCAAATTTTTTTTCTACTTCAAACGATTGCCAAGTCGGAGGCTGATCATTTTTTTCAGTAACTTAAAGAACACAGTAAAGCTTAATATCAAAAGCTTTATTTTTCTTTTGAAGTGAAACTTCTTTAGGCGCGCTTTATATAGAGAGTTAACTTGTGAATCAAGCTAACGAACAAGCGATCGCAAACGCTGCCGTACACATATGTATCAATTTATATTTTCTGTACGTATACCAGCGCTGACTGCGCCGCAGGCAGAGGATCTGTTTGTTTATCTCTCTTCCTCTCGCATGCGCACAATAGTACGACATAATTACTCTATCTATATATATGATATAGTTTCTCTCTATTTTTATACATAAAGTAGACAGTCAATCGATCCGAAAAATCACCAGCGCAAGCGAACGGTATAATATTCGAGCGGTCACCCATCCGACTACCAACCGCGGCCAACTCTACTTAACTTTTCTGATCGACGAGACTGCAACTCTACCCCTGCGCCACCGAGTCGGTAGTAGGTGTACCTACTGCTGCATGGTGGAAATCATAACGTGGCTGCAGTATGGGCTAAACTGGGCCTCTGTTACAGCTAAGGTACTGTCAGGCAAATAATGTCTGACATAAAACATCGCTTGATCTCTTTGAAATCAATTTTTTTCCTATTTATCTTTTCGTATTTATATGTATGTAAAAAAACGTACGTAAAATATAAAATATGTATAATACGACAACTTAACTTTGGAAAACAAGAAAAAACGCTGTATCTCAAAAGGAAAGCAAAATTAGCTAAGAATTACAATTTCTACGGGTTTCCTAAAGGGGATCCCACATGATCGAGGTGCACAAGTAGAGAGGGGTTAGACATGAACTAACATAACCACAATTTTTTTATTTTTCGACTGTATTTTGAAAAAAACAAGTCAAAAAATTTTTTTATTTAGTATGACATGTTTGGAAAATTAATACGGACGTTGACAAAATCTTCAAAAAATGATTGGCACAACATAACCTTCCAAAATTATGAAACCAGTCGTTTCTCAAAAAGAAAGCCAGATAGGCCAAAAATAATTCCACGTATTCGCTACGTGCACAATTTTGAAGCAGCGCCATCCTAGGGAAAAACGACAACTATTGGTCTGGCACAGCAGAAGGCAATATTCGCGATATGTGCTTGATACCTATAGGAACCCAGTACCTCGATAGATACACAAAAGGTTCTGTGTTTATTATATCACGAATTAATACAATGTCTCAAGTGGTACAATCCTATGTGAATAACTAAAGACAAAATTTGTACTACAAGCACTATAAGCACTTGAGTATGTCCGTGTGTACTGTGTGATACGAGATATGTTTTATTAGTTTGCAATGTAGTCAACACAGACCTCCTCTGACCAATCAGAGAGCTCCGTTAGCCCTATACCGGCGTGTAAGCAATATACATTGTACACACACGTTCATACGATACGCTTTGAGGATCAGACCCCAACTAAAAACTCTAAGAAATACACAGTATCCAATGTATTTCACTGCGTTTTTTAATGAACATGCCTGAGTAAAATATGTACATACTACTCATAATTTTATTAAAAATTTAACCCTTAGAATGGTTGTCGATGTATAAACACATAACTTTATGATGATAGGAATGCTTAGCAGAAGACAAACCTATCGTTTAGTTTCACATATTAGCACAGGTATTGCTGCGATCGCTTTTTCAGCTTGTGCACGTAGCGAATAGAAGGTAATTATTGAGGTGCAAAAATCTGTTACACAGATTCATAAAAATAATCGTAATAATCCTGAAAATAATAAGTCATATCTCAAAGGCCAAGCTACAACCTTCATATCTTACCTATAAATTGATTTATTTCCTGTTCTCTATAATGTATCATAAAAAAAATTGTCACGTGACCAAAACCTATATTCTTTTGAGAAATTTTGAGATCAGAAGAAATGAGTTAAGCACGGGTAAATTTTAATATTAAATTATAAGTTATTATAGAAAACGATTGAAATGAAAAATTACAATTTTACAATAGAAAATAGATATATGTCTATTGTTTTCCTTAATCTCAATACGATAAAGTGGATTATTTTACTTTTACGGTAGCCGAAATTCAAAATAATTTTTATTTGTCGGATACAAAGATTCCAACAAAAATTTATTGTACACATATGATGTCATATCAAATGCACGAATATGAATTTTAAATAAAAGGAATTTTTGTCCCACGTAATGGGACAAAAGTACTTTCTATTAGCGTAGTATAGTGAAAATTTTTGTTTCATCCTGAATTACATTACTAAAAATTCGTATATGTATTACATATATCATAGCAAACATGGAAGTACTTAGAATGCGCGAATCATAACATGAGTAGTATATTAAGGTATATGTATTCTATGCACACGCGTGCTCGAATACGTAATAGTATTAAAATTTTCACTATTTTAATATGTGATTTTCAAAGATCTATTGAAATTAGGTGTAATCTAATTTTTTTAGTTTTTACTATACCGATTTTAATAACATTTGAGTTGGAAGTTTTACTTCTGCCGGGGATCCCGAGACCTACACCTGGTTTTTTTTAAAAACTCTGTTTATATAGAGTGCAGTTGAGAGTAAGGTAGTGAAAAAATTAGAAACTATTGTGTTAAAAGTATTTTCACAATTTCTATCATAACTATGCTCCAGAAGGTTGCACAGAGACTTTCAAAAAAGAAAAATTACCATTTCGACAAAAGCTTTAAGGCTACAAACCATCATTCTATTTAATTTTTCTTCAGAATGATGTGCTTTGTTACTTAGAAAAGTTGTGTTTTATATTATACGATTTGCGTTATTGTACTTAATACGAAAATATTGTTAAATTACTTACAGACCAATTTTGTTATAATACATGATAACCTGATTCCATATACTTTTTCATTTTTTTTAGAATCGCTTTCCAGCTACTTTTATTTTACACTAGCGCCCCTCCCCCCCGTCGCGGTTTCGTTCGAGACTCAATAAATAGAACACCGTAGTGCGTTTACATGTCATCACTTCTCTGTCACCGGTCAAACAGTTCACTTTGCTTCAGTGGTTACTCCTTCATAAGAAGAACACTTAAACGGCCCTTATCAGGGCCTCGGATCTCCACTCTCTTGGTTCGGACCTTCTAGAATAGACGCCGAAACTGCATCATCGTCTCCCTGCCACCGAGCCTCGCTCGGGCTCGTCAACCTCTACGTCTGCCTAGATGGCCCTCTCTTCTAACGGTACCAAAGCTAGAAAAATCAAGGATCAGCCAGGTCTTACAGGTGAGCTCAAACATGAGCAAAATCACAGCGGCACCATGGAATCGATAACAGACAATCCTGATGCTCACATGGACGAGTGCAACTCGTTACATTCCTCCATTGAAACTTCTGCATCCGACTCTCAACGTGAGCACTTAACGACTGCGGAACTTCAGGCTACAATTACGAGCCTTCGAGAACAACAGGCGCAATCAAACGCCATCATCTCTGAACTAAGAACAACCATTGCCGCTCAAAGCGCCACCCTACAAAAACTCGCTGGCACATCTTCCGCAAATCCTTCTAGTCAAACCCACGGTACTCCGATCAGGAGTGCGAAACGTAAGGCTAATTCCAAAGCAAAACGCCCTAAAACAACCGGCCTTTTTAACGACGCTTCATCTGAGTCAGAGTCCACTAAGGACCCTGAAGAAGAAACTCCAGCACCTGGCTTCACACAGTGTCAAACCGCACCTCCACCAATCGTCATACGCGAGTCCAAACGCAGGCCGAAAATTCACTCAGCATTGATAGGAGACCGCTGGTCTTCCTATCGAGGTTGCCCAAAAGCACCGGTCAAAATCACCAGGACTGCGCAACAGCCCTCACCCATCAAAGCATCCTCGTCCGCAAAGGCATCCGTCACTCAGCCATCCAAACCGACTTCGCTGCCAGTGAGGCAGTCGGTGTAGAGATACACACGTCGATATCACCAATCAGAGTGTTCTCCCTATACTCACCACCCCTGGACACAGATGTATCGTATCTTCCAGGTTTTTTCCAAGGCACCACTCCTGTGCTAGTGACAGGCGATTTCAACGCTAAGCACGTCTCTTGGGGCTGTGCCAAAACCAACACAAAAGGTACCGCCCTCCTGAAGATTCTTGTCAATCACCAACTGACTTCAGAAGTGCCATCGGAACCTACACACTACCCGGACAACTCTGACCACGAGCCCGACATACTAGACATCGGGATATCTCGCAAGTTCTCCTTGGCTACAGACCCCAGCGTTCTAAACGAATTATCATCAAACCAACTCCCGGTTCTATTTGAGGTCCTACTAACTCCACAAGTCTCTCCAACCCTAACACTCAAGTTAGACTGACTACACCTGAGATGCCACCTTGAGAAGTCCTCGTTCAAATGCAGCAAAATATCAAACTCCGTCGAACTAGACTGCAGTCGATGCCTTAACCATGGAGATACAATCTGCGGTGAACTTCGCCACCTCTTCCCGCCCACAAGAAAAGTTCCGGCTCAAACTTCCTGTCGAGATTCAAGACCTCATATCAAAAAGAAATAAGATTCGACGACTTTGGCAGCGTTTCAGTACCACTCATCTCAAGGCTCTCCTTAACTCTCTTCAGCGTGAAGTTTAATCTCAGTTAATCGAATTTTGCAGCAGAAAATTCAACCTCTTCATTGAAGAGGCGGAGACCCACCCAA